ACCACCACCCAGAGTTCAGCCCCCTACCACCCTCGGGCTACCTTCCCCTTCTCATCCCTTCTGGGCCTCAACCACCTCAGTCCAAGATGCTCTTAATTTCGCCCCCATTTCTGCCCACTGTAACCTGCATTCCTTCTCCTATGTACTAGGGGAAATGTGGAGATTCTTTGGAGACCAGGCAAGGGAGGGACCCTGGGGATGGATCCCTGGAGGGTTGGGAAGTGTAGAAGAACCATAGCTACCCTTCTACTAACCAGGCCCAGCACCTCCAGCTCCCCACCCAACCCCCTGGTGTTGCTGTCAGACCTAGGCTGCTTAAGATAGGTCTAGAATTGTGATCCATAGAAGGCAGGAGCTTGGGAAGCAGTGGGACTATTACGTTCTGCTGGGTTTAGTCCTGGACTGAATTTCCCCGCAACCCACCATGTACAACCCACAACCACTCAACCCAGCTCCTGCTTCACACACACACACACACACACACACACACACCCCGCCCCAGCTGCAGCCAGAGCAAGAATGCATCCGAGGAAGGAGAGGATGCCAGCTTTAGAGAATATAAAAAGGGAGACAGGCAAAAAGGAATATAAAAAGGGAAGGAAAAAGGCAGGGCCTGGTGAGGATGGCAGTGACAAAAGAGATCTGGGGGACAAAGTGACCAGAGGAAATAAACAGAGACAAAGAAAAAAGATCCCAGAAGTGAGGAGGACTCAGGAAGATCCACAGGTCCTCCCACCTTTCTCGCATACCCTCTTCCTCTTTCCCTGGGACTGCTCTGGTAGCTTAGTGGTTACGAATCGGGCTGCGAACCGCAAGGTCAGCAGTTCAAAACTACCAGCTGCTCTGCGGGAGAAAGATGAGGCTTTCTGCTCCCGTAAAGATTTACAGCTTCGAAAACCCTGTTCAGGGTTGCTATGGGTCGGAACTGACTCAACGGCACTGTAACAACAACAACATCCTAGGAATAGACTGGTGAGCAAAAGAGAGAGCCACACACACAAGAAAAGGGAGATGCAGGGGGAAGCCAGTGACTATAAGCAACCAGAGCATAAGAAAGAGCAGGAGAAAAGTGTTGAGAGAAAGATCAGGGACTGAATGGCAGACAGCAGTGCTCAAGACACAGCTGACAAATGAACCATGGGAAATGGAGGGATCCTAAAAGGGGATGTTGTTGTTGTTAAGTGCCATCAAATTGGTTCTGACTCATAGCAACCCAGTATAGGGTTACCTAGGAGTGGCTGGTGATTTTGAACCGCTGACCTTGTGGTTCAAACTGACCTTGAGGCCGAGTACTTATTCTATGGCAACACACCAGGACTCCAAAAGGGGATAGGAGAGGAAAATATGAGAGTGAGCCTCAAATATAGATGCTTGAAGAGCAGAGGGAGGCTATACTGAGCAAAGGAAAGAATCGTGGGTTAGCTTAGGTAGAAAGGGAGTCAGGAAAATCAAAAGGCAGTGAGCTGAGGGGCTGGTAGATAGAGACCATGAAACAAGTTGTAGAGACAGAGACAAGCCAAGCAGATATTGAGAAAGGTGGGGCTCAGAGAAGTGAGGGACTCTAGAAATAAGCCATGTTAGACCCTGAGACCAGCAGAGAAGTGAGCACCAGGATAAACAGAGACCAGGTTAGGCTTTGAGGTGGGGAGCCAGGCAGAAGCAAAGGAATGGCAGACACAGACACAGGGGTACAGAGAGTCAGGTCAAGGAAAGACAAACAGGAGACCAGCCCTGCCTCCCCATTCTTCTCACCTATGGCTGGAGTCTCTTGCCCTCACACTTGAGAATTTCCAGGACAACGAGGAGCTAGTTTGGGTGGCATCTGAGGAAGGATGGAGAACAGAGATGTGAATGCCAGGGGAGAGGAGAGGGCCTCAGGAAGGAAAGAGGAGGGCAAACCAGACCAGACCAGGGGGTAGAGCCCGGGACCAAGTTAACTCCTTCCTTCCTCCTCCTTCCATAGGAGATAGTGGAAACTGCCTGCCTGCCCCTTACTCCCCACCCCACCTATACCCAGCCTGGCCTGCTCAGAACATAGGGTTGCCTGAGGACAAAGCCTGGTCTTTGTCACCTGGACCTGACCCAGCCTGACCTGGTGTTCTCAGCCCCTTATCACATCCCCAGGGAGATGGGAAACAGGCAATGACGCATTGGGCCATGGGTTAACCCTCCCCAGCTTACACACCGGGGCCTTGAGTGACCTAGAGCTGGGGACAGGTGACCTGCATCCCTTGGGGGTAACATTTTGGCATATACACTTATGGGACCTATGCCAAGAGGACTGACTATAGGATATAAGTCCCCTGGGAGAGAGGTTATATCTTTCTGAGCCCAGTAAAGGGTTGGTGGAGGTTCTTAGAGAGTTGGGGGCTTTGGCAGAGATGCCATAGCTTTAGTGGAAAGCTCTCACCCAGAGAAGCTGACCCCTGTCCGTCCTACCAACCTTCACACCCTAGAGCTATATTGAGAGGTGACAGTAGATGGGATAGGAGAGGGAGCTGGAGAGTGTCTCCGGGTATGTGGGTGTTGGGGGAAGGCAGAGCAGGGGAGTCTGGCTTTGTTCCCTGAACACAATGTCCACTTAGTCATAACAGGCATGAAGACCTGACACCTACAGCCTCTGAGAGGTGGCCTTGTAGGAGGCTAGGGAGAGGGCCTGGGGCATTTGAGATCACCCACAAAGAAGAGAGTATGAGTGTGAGACCCAGGAGGGCGGGCAGGGTACACCAGAGTCATCATACCTGGGATGGGTAACAGACTGAAGAGCCCCAGCCTCATACCCATGGAATGCGGAGCCTGAGGCCGGCTGGTGTAAATCCCCAGGACTGCCTGGCACCCAAGCCATCCTCAGAGGCACCTGCACCCTCTGGCAGCCCAGAGAAGTAGAAGGGAGTAGCCCCCTATCCCCACCCTACACTCTCCCTCAGGCCCTGGGATTAATGCCTCCTGCCTCTCTCCACCCTTGCTCCCATTCTGCGCATACCAGCAGCACAGCATGGCAGTGAGAGGGTAAAAGCATGTGTGTGCAAATGTTGGCTTGCAAGTGTGTGTATTAGTGTGCATAAATGCAGATTGAAAATCTGTAAAAGTAAGTGTGTATGTATGAAAAGGTTGCACGTATGGGACTTAGAATAGACATGGATGTGTGGCTGGGTGTGAGGGCAGATGTCTACATTACGTGGTAGTAGACAGTCATTTGTGTGCAAATCTGCTGTAGAAACATGGGAGACTCCATTGCACTGTTTGAGGGATTGAATGACAGCCACAGTAGAAGCATCAGGGAAGGTGTCAGGGGCTCAAGATGTGTCCCCAAAGCAAGGCAACCTCAAGTCCCAGGAAGAACACCTGCCTAGAGACAAAGGACAAAGGGAATGCTAGGTATAGCGTTGGTGGAGAGTGAGAGTGGTGCAGAGTTTTATTCCTGACAAAAGGAAACTGAGTCATGCGATTAGATAAAGACTGCCTCCTTGGGCCTCCAGGCTCCAGCTGCCCGATCCCCAGGGCTGTGGGACTCCAGGTCTGACAGAGTGAGGAGATGCTGGGAGCCTGGGGCTATGTGAGAACACGCTTGAGGGGAAAGGAGGAGAGGGAAGGGAAGAAGAGAGGGCATCCTGTGGTTGGGGAGCAGGGGACAAACATTTGGCTAACAGGATAGGGTGACCCTCACCCAGTGTTCTCAACTCACCCTCAGGTTAAAAATAACCGAGGTAAGGGCCAGGCAGGCGCAGGGAGGTGGTGAGAGAAGGTCCTGTCTTCCCATTATCTGCCCACTGGCTTTTTGGAGGGGAGGAATGTGCCCAAGGACTAAAAAAAGGCCTTGGAGCCAGAGGGGCTGGGGTGACAGGCCTTTCATGGGCAAATCTGGGGACCCTGCTGTCCTCCTGTCACCTCCAGAGCCAAGGGATCAAGGGAGGAGGAGCCAGGAGGCTAGAGAGGTGGGAGGCAGGGTCCCTCCGGAAGGACTCCAAATTTAGACAGAGGGGTGGAGGAAGCTGCATATAAAGGTGCTGGGAGCTTTGAGGACAGAGACTTCTCTGACCCAGGTAAGATGGGATCGGGTGGGAATCTCAGTGGTCAGCTCCAGAGCTACCTTCTTGGGGAGTGGGGTGTAGGTCGGTCGGGGAACATTCCCATTGACAGAGGAGAGGTCCTAGGGATCAAACAGAAACCACTCTTCTTCTCATACTTTGCGTTTCTTTCCCTGCATCCTGTCATCTCCAGTTTTCTGTGTCTTCCCCTCACACTGTCTCCATCTTTCTCTCTCCTTTGGAAAATCTACAAGAGATTTTGTCCTGTTTTACTTCACCTCTCAGTCTTTGTCTATACTTGTCGTTACCATGCTTTTCTGCCTGTCTCTACTCTTTGCCCTTCCTTCTTGGTTCCATCTCTTTCTCCATATCCTGTTGCTCGCATTTGTATTAACACTGCATCCTCTCTGTCCTATTTCCCTGCCTCTTTTCTCTCCTAAGTCAGTAGTCTGGTCTATCCTGCTCCTATCTGTGTGTCTGTATCTGTAAGCCTAGCCTTTTGGCTTACTCTACTTCTGCTCTGCCAGTATTCATTCTACTTGTCTGACCTCTCTGCCCGGGTAGTTCTTCTGTGGCTCCTTGCTCCACTTGTCATCCAGATTCTTCAGGACTCTGTGAAGAGACAAGCAGGTGAGAACCACCCCGATTTTTTCTCCTAATCAGAAGAGCATGCCTCTCTTGGGAGCCAGGTTGTTGAGTGAAAGGCTTAGTTTAGTGTCTCTCCTCTGATCAACTCACACCTCCTCTTAACAAACTGCAGGAAATTCCAGCCCCACAAAAACCTCTTACAGAAATTCTCCTCAACATCTCCTCAGAGGGCAAAGGGTGCAGGGGGAGAGGGAGAGAACAACAGGGGCCAAGTAGCAGAGGAGGTAGATAGGGAATAAGGGCTCAGAGGACAATGCCACCCACTGAATTCTGGGCCCACTCCAGGAATGACCGAGTCCTCCTGTCTTGATCCACAGCAGCGAGATGACTGATGCCCAAATGGCCGATTTTGGGGCTGCGGCCCAATACCTACGCAAGTCAGAGAAGGAGCGTCTGGAGGCCCAGACCCGGCCCTTCGACATCCGCACTGAGTGCTTTGTGCCTGACGACAAGGAGGAGTTCGTCAAGGCCAAGATCACTTCCCGGGAAGGTGGCAAGGTCACTGCTGAAACAGAGAATGGCAAGGTATGTGGCACAGAGTCAGGGGAAGGTGAGTGAAGTTTTCAGGAGGGAGGTACAGAGACAGAGCCACTTGCAGTGCAAGCTGAGACCCCAACCAAGGTGGCAGGAGGCTGGGAAGTCCTGGAGAAGAACCCAGGAGAGTGAGGGAGTTTGCTCTGAGGAGCTCAGCATCTCTAGTGAGAACTCTTCTCAAATATACCTGGGCAGGAGCAAAGGTGCCGCCCAGAGGTGCAGCCCCCTTGCCAGAAAGAATACATGGTAGAGTAGGGGGTCTCAGCTGTAAACCTCCTTAGGGAAGTTTTGTGAGGGCATATTGTTGTTGTTGTTAGGTGCCATCGAGTCGGTACCGACTCATAGCGACCCTATTTACAGCAGAATGAAACTGCCCGATCCTGTACCAACCTCACTATTGTTGCCACAGGCACTGCATTAAATAAGGTTCCTCATCTTGTGTTTCTATCCCTCCTCTCTGTGCCTCAGTTTCCTCCATAAGCGACTCTTTCAAATACTCCTCCTTCACACCAAAAACAAGCTGTGAGACTTGAGTAAAGATAAAGAACAGGAATATTTGAGCTGGTGAAACTGGCACTAAAAAAAATCCCTGGTCCTGGCTTACTCACACCAGCTATGAGAATTGCCACTGGTCCTCAGCTGAGATTTACAACAGCACCATCACAGACTCGCTGATTGAACTTGGTGTGCCACTGAAGTGTGGAATAACAGACCCCATCCACCAGGGTCTTTCATTATGATCCCAGCTCTGCCACTGCAAATCTCTTAAAGCCACAGCTTCCTCCCCCATAAAACCAATGCTGGAACACTTACCTGCAGGATCTAATGATGTTACGGCATGGCAGACCAACCAATGCCAATCAAACCACACCTACAGTGACCCATATAGGGTGAATTTTTTTTTTATTATAGTAGGGGCATTAATGCCCTCAAGCATCACTTCCTTGTGAACAAAAGTACATTCCCATGAGATGGTCTCAGGATCGTGAGTGGGATGTATGTTCACAGACCAAAACATCTCTCCAAGTTTGCTCCTAGATACTTGAAGCATAAGAGCTGAAAGAGGTGATATGAGGAATCTTGGCAAGAGAAAGGCAACCTAGGACAGTCTCTAGGATGAGAGAAACAGCAGGCAGTTAGTTACATTACCTGAGGAAGGTGTCCTGGGGGAGTTGTGGGGCAGTGGACTGGGGCACTGACCAGGGGAGGGTTAGACAAGCAAGGGTAAGTTCTGGCCTGTGTTTTGACAGGTAAGTGGATGAGGCTGTTGAGCACAGACTGACAAGGGCTCTATTGAGAATGTGGTCATCCCTTCCTGACTGCTGTGCTCCCTCCTCAGACGGTGACAGTGAAGGAAGATCAGGTGATGCAGCAGAACCCACCCAAGTTTGACAAGATTGAAGACATGGCCATGCTGACCTTCCTCCATGAGCCTGCCGTGCTCTACAACCTCAAGGAGCGCTATGCAGCATGGATGATCTATGTGAGTGGCCTCCCAGGCCTAGGGGACTCTTAAGGAGAGGCCAGACTTCTCAAAGAACTGGAGGGGTCGCTGACGGATGACCAAGTAGGCAGAGGCAGATTCCAGATGGGAATCTAGGCTTCATCCCCAACCTTTTGGCCCTGGGGCTTCTGTCTACTCCCTCTCCCACCACCTACTCCTGGTCAGCTGCAGAAAGAAAGAGTCAAGTTGGTTTGTCCAGAGAGTTCCCTGCCTTCTACCCCTGCTTTTCCTGGGATTTCCCCATTGACTTCTCATGTTCAGCCCTGTTTTTTCTGCTGCAGACCTACTCGGGCCTCTTCTGTGTCACTGTCAACCCCTACAAGTGGCTTCCAGTGTACAATGCCGAGGTGGTGGGGGCCTACCGGGGCAAGAAGAGAAGCGAGGCGCCACCCCACATCTTCTCCATCTCTGACAATGCTTATCAGTACATGCTGACAGGTAAGCCGAGCAAACCCTGACCTGCGCCCCAATACCTATCTGGGCCTTCAGCCTGACACCATTGCCTCCCTTCTTTTTTCTTCCAGACCGGGAAAACCAGTCCATTCTAATTACGTGAGTGAGCACCAGTCACCCATAGAGGGTATGGGGTGGCATGGGGGGATTCTAAGGGTACAGGTAGGAAGGAAAATGTTACAGCTGTGTTTGGAAGGACTGTGGAGTGCTGACATCTCACTAGAGAGACGACAGAGTGATGAAGATGATGAAGGAACTTTGTAGGGTGATGGATTCAGCTGAGGGAGTGGAGAAGCTGGGACTCTGAGGGAAGGAATGCAGGAGTACAGAGTTCTGAATAGAGAACAGTAGGATTACTGAGTTCTGTTGGTTCCTGTTGCTTACAGCGGAGAATCTGGGGCTGGGAAGACTGTGAACACAAAACGTGTCATCCAGTACTTTGCCAGCATCGCAGCCATAGGAGACCGTGGCAAGAAGGACAACGCTAATGCAAACAAGGTGCTCATGTGGGCTATGGGCCCAGGACTCCACAGAGAGTCTGGGAGGCAGGCTGACCCAGGTTACCCCTAACCCTATCAATGGGAATACCATGAACAGGGCTCCTGAGGGTCAGCTGAAGAGCTTCCCGGCAGGATACACTCTGAGGACCAAATACAGGCCTTTGGAGCCACAGACCCATCACAGTTCACCCATTCTCACCCCCACTCCTATCTCCCAGGGCCAGATTCGTCTCCCTGTCCTTCTCACTAACCCCTGCAGGAGCGTGGGGGATGAACCCTGCTGTCCTGCTCCCTGCACAGGGCACCCTGGAGGACCAGATCATTCAGGCTAACCCTGCCCTGGAGGCCTTCGGCAATGCCAAGACTGTCCGGAATGACAACTCCTCCCGCTTTGTGAGTGCCCTTGACCAGCTGCCAACTGGCCTCATCTGGCCTTGTCTGAAGCAGGGGGCTGTTTTGCCAACAATCACCACCACACCCTGCCGATTGTATTGCAATTGGCTCTGAGGTGTCAGCAGAAATACACATACACACACTGTCCAAACCCTTCCCAGGCTCAGCCTGGCTCCATGAATTCTGGGAACCCCCAAGAAGGAGAGCAGAGTCACCACATCTGTTCCATAGCAAAATGATGGCGCCGATTCTGACCACATTTTAGATTTTTTTTTAATGACTGTTTCTGAAGCTCTTTCACAACAGAAGTGGGAAAAAAGCATATTTTCCACTTGTTCAGAAAGACCACACAGCTGTCTGAGCTCCAATTCTCTCATCTCTAGACCCAGGGTAGCACTATCAACCTCAGAGGCTGTTAGGAAAATGTCAGTAAATTATATTAGAGGTACCCACAGGAGGCATTCTGTACGTGTGGATTCTCCTGTTTTTGCTTCCACTCATTGATTCCTGAGTGGTATGTGAGATGTGGGCATCCTTTTCCCTGAGATACCAAATTAGTCATTTATATTTCTAGAATCATTCAGGGCATTCTGAGTTGAGTTGAAGTCAGGATCTCCATGCTGGCCAGTTCCCTCATCCTTTGTCCTATCCACCCTCAGGGGAAATTCATCAGGATCCACTTTGGAGCCACTGGAAAGTTGGCTTCTGCAGACATAGAGACTTGTGAGTACTGTGGAGAAGAGCCCTGAAACATCACTCCCTGAGTCCTCCACCTCGGCCTCTATCCCAGCTGGGCAGCCCCAGCTCATCATTTCCCTCTGGCGTTTTTCATTATCTCCCTTTGCCTCTTGGCTTTAGCATCTTTTTTTCCTTTAAATAATATATTCTCCGTTGGCTCTTTCCATCATCTTGTAGGAGACTTTCTCCCCATTTTCCACCCTTTTGTTGGATTTACTCTCTTTCCTCCTTTCCTTCCCTTCCTCCCCTCCTCTCCTTTCCAGATCTCCTGGAGAAATCCCGGGTGATCTTTCAGCTGAAGTCTGAGAGGAACTACCACATCTTCTACCAGATCCTGTCCAACAAGAAGCCAGAGCTTCTGGGTGAGCCCGACTGGATGTCCTTCCTGGCCCACTGCACTCTGCAGTGGCTTTCCCGTTCTTTCTCTCCTTGGACTCACCTGCATCTTCTCTGGCCTCCCTATTTCACTATCCCACACCTTCCTTCTCACTTCACCCCTTTCCACTCTTTCCTTTTCACATTTCTTCTCCTCTCTCTCGTTAGTTTCATGTTTCTTCTCTTTATTTGTCTTTCCCTTTGCCCATGTCTTACTCACCTACTACCAATCTTCCCTCTCTCTGGTTTCCTTCCTTTCTCATTTGTTTTGAATTCTCTTCTTGGTCCTTGCTGACTCTTCTCTTCTATTCCTACTCTTTGTCCTCTCCTGCTCATTCTGCCCAATCCTTTCTTCCCCTTTGTGTCCCTTTCCCAATACCTCTCTGCCCTGCCCTGGCCCTCTGCCCACCTGCCCTTCCCCTTGCCTGGAGCAGACATGCTGCTGGTCACCAACAACCCCTACGACTACGCCTTCGTGTCTCAGGGAGAGGTGTCTGTGGCCTCCATCGATGATTCCGAGGAGCTCATGGCCACTGATGTGAGTGAAGTGACTGAGTGCAGTGTTCTCCTAAGTGCTCCTGGAGTTACCTGCTCCAACCACCCTCCATCCTCTTTCTCTGTTCCAGAGTGCCTTTGACGTGCTGGGCTTCACTCCTGAGGAGAAGGTTGGTGTCTACAAGCTGACAGGTGCCATTATGCACTATGGAAACATGAAGTTCAAGCAGAAGCAGCGAGAGGAGCAGGCTGAGCCTGATGGCACTGAAGGTAAGAGAGGCAGGTGGGAAAGAATTGAGTTGCCTGAGGTAGAGACAAAGACTGAAGGGGACTATCTCTTCATTCTACACACAGCCTACAGGGAGTAGGTCTTTCATACCATCTCAAAAAAAAAAAAAAAAAAAAAAAAATAATTGCCTTTTGATAATTCTCAAGGAACTAAGTTGACAAAGGGTTCAATGTTGTGAAGTGCGTTTAAGTCAATTCTGACTGATAGTGAGCCTGTATAGGGTTTCTGAAGAGTGGCTGGTGAG